GACAGGAGTAGTGTGAAATCAGCAATTTATGGACACAGTACTGAGTTTCAGATTATCTATCTTTTTCTCAGGTTTAACAAAAGCAGAATATAATTTACCCCTTGCTCATTTTGTTCAGGTTGACGCAGAATTTGTGGAAGTTTTGGCCTTCAGGTAGCAACATTCTTCCTTTGAATTGAAGTGTAATTGATTCCCCATGCAATTGTCAGCCATTGACAATCTCTATGCTACTTTTTAAATTTTCTTGAACAGGCAAAGTCACCAATCATTCTTCGGAAATCAGATTTATTTTCGTTGCATGCTAAGACCACGCTCTTTCATATTCAGAAACAAGACTCGGAAATCGAAGTGCTCAAGGTGCTTAATTTCTTTGTAGACAATGATATACATATGGTTTTAAAATGTAAATTGATTGAATTAGCCACTGAACATTTTTGATCTGTTCTTGTCAAATACAAGCAAACTTTAGGATTATACGCTTATTTGAAAGGTAAAAAAGAAGGACAATATTACACTTACAATCCAATCATAAACTTTTTTTACAATCTTAGCCTGACAGCTCTAATTGATCAATCATAATGGGTCTTGTCTGCTTGATTAACAATTGACCAATTTCAAAATATTACGTCGAGATTATAAAAAAGTTTGTAAAATTGAGGTGTGAACCCATTTTTATTGCAAAAGAAAAGCTTACTATTTACTCAAATCTCAGTGATCCTAAACGAGAATTGCTTTGAAAGAACAGTGAACAAAGTTTTGATAATCATTAATCAGTAATAAAATTGATTTTGGTTATTGTTTGTGTTGACAGTGGATGGCAGCTGAGGAGTATGCAGCACAACCATTTGTACGAAAGCATAGACTGTTAATTATGTAGCCAAAATATGTTAACGAAGTCAGAGAAGGACTATGCAGGGGTTTCTCCCTTATCTACAACCACAACTCAGGTAAAACCCAGCTACTGTATTTCAACAACCGAGATTGTACCCCTCCACAACACAGTAATCCATCGCCACCATAAAGCTTCATTTCTGCTTCTGCAATCTCAAGCGCAATACAATTTAAAAAGCAATGGTACACATAAAAGGTTTTTTTTTTTTATTCTTCTTTTCAAAGAAATTTTGTTGGTCTCCTGCGGTTTAGACTAGAAGATTTCCTAGTTGAAGAAATAAGTGGTAATCTTTCTGAAGTTTTGAATATTTTGAGAAAGTTTCTCTGAAATTTCCTAATTTTTGCAAGCACAGAGAAAACTCTGCATTTTTCCTATTGGATTATCCGTTACACGGTTGTTAAGTGAAGGTGAATAAAGTTTACCATTATTTTTGTTTAACCGCAAGTAAACCTTAACAGGGGTCACAGAAATTCTTTGGTTCCTCTGGTAAATGTTTTGTGCATTTATCATTGAATTATCAACTGGAGTATCAGTTTTGTCATTCATTCGTACCTTACAAATAAACATATATGAAAAAATACTTGTAAAATATGAACCGACATTCTATTCTATCTCTAACTAAATACTATACTGTTACAAATCTTCAACTACAATATTAGAAAATATACCATGATGTTACATATAAAATCCTCTAAAAGGATCCATGGTATAATTAAATAATTCCTCCATGTCACTATCAGTCGGCCTGTGTGGTGGGATTCATGCTCTTTTGGCCTTAATACCATTACGCCAAAGGCAAAAAGGAGAAAAGAATATAAAAGTTATAAAAAATATGGTAGGAAGAATTCTGTCCAGCAATTACTCAGACAAATAAAACTTGATTCCTTCTCAATACCCTTATCATAAAAGGAATGAACTCAGAACTCAGAATAATTAATTTAATAGCAAAAAAAAAATATTATATAATTATATATATATATATAATATATATATATATATATATATAAACATGGGTCATCCAACACTACTCTCATAAAAATTTCAGATAAAAAATGGAGATGGAAGAGTTAGGAATTAGGATATTGTAGTATTAAATATATAGATATCCATTGCTGTGGAGGTATAACGGGTGATTAATAGTTGAGTAAATAACATGTACCCACCCAAGGTTTCACGAAACGACGGTTACCACCCCTAGGTTCATAAATTCCAGATTCTCACCCAGAAACCAACAACGTTAAAGATTTTTAGGATCTGACACAAGTATGAAAGAACTATTACCATATTGCCCTCAATAAATAAATTGTTTTTAACCCTGCAATGACGCATCACCAAATCGCCCACCCAAACACGACCAACGATGAAACTCCACAACCCAAACAACAACTAGAAATCCCCAAGAAAACCAACCAAAGCCACTGCGCTTGGTTTGGTTGACATATTCTAGCACCCCTATAAAATTTATTAATCTTATAATTTTGAAATATTATAAAAACCCCCCTAAGACCTGAACCAGGACCGGAAAAGCTACCGGATCTCGGTCCGGTTTTAAAACAAAGATGAGAGGAAGAAGAGAGTGGAAGAAAAGGACCATTTACCTGATAATTAAATTAAACGGTTTTTGTTAATTTAAAAGTGAGAATCTGGAATTTGAAACAAGGGTGGGAACAGGCATTTTGCGAAAAGTTGGGTGGGAACAAGTTGTTTACTCTTAGTGGTTTTCGTATTAGGTTCCGAATACCGCTTACGCAAGAGCACCTGCACCCGCACACCCATGCCTGTTCTAAAAATTAATCTAAACAACCTTTTCTAATGACAACAGTTTAGAGGGCATATATGTAAGTTACCCAACCAGATGTCTTCTGTATGTATTGGCATTGGTACGATGAAACTCATCTTCAGATGATCAATGATATAATCTATATTTCTAGTCTCTTGATCTTCTTTTGTGCCCTCATTGACTGTTAAGTTCCTTTATAATTTTAACATTCCATGAATTTAGTTTCAAGTTGGAAACTGAGCGAGTGTGTCCAGGTGGTGGTAGATCGCGATCTTTTTAAAGTGATTATGGCTTCGATGCAAGGCAATTGGGTCAAGGTTTGCTTTAATATTCTTTAGCAAAACTTCACATTTTTCATTCGGTTCAATATGCTTTAATTAATTGCTTCTTCATCAATCCAACTAGGTGGGTGGTGGTTTTATTTTTGTTAAGGAATTCTTGTAAAAATTCATGGAAACAGAGTATCTAACTTTTTTTCTGATTTTGAGCATGCAACCTTTTTAGTTATTGGTTTTATCATTCCTTTTAGGGAAATTTCTAAATTTTTGGAAACCAGGATTTTTCTGAAGAATTTTTATTGTAGATTCCAGGCTTTTCTGAATGTTGAGTTTGTTTAGTTTGATTGTGCTTTGTAAGGAATTTCTGTAATTCTTGGAAACCAAGAGTATGTAAATTTTAACTTGCGGGCTTTTTCAGACTGCTGAAATTGTTTGGCTTTTTTCTTTTGGGAATTAGTAATTTCATGGAATCTAAAGCCTTCTCTAATCTTAACTTGCAAGCTTTCTCTTTGTTGATTGATTATTGATCTCTTTGTTCCTTTAATCAAAACTTAAAGTAGTAGTTGAATGGGATTTTCAAGTTAGTTCGTTTATGGTTGTTGTTTTCCTCTTAGCTTTAATTGTCTAGTATTAATCGACATTTCTGGTTTTACTTGGCCTCTTTGATAGAGATATGTGTAAAATTGGGTTTAGTCAGAGCAAATGTTGAAACAGATTACAGGATAAGCTGAGGGAAGTAAAAATGAAATATCAAATTCAAGCTAAAAACTTAGGCATCAGTGATCTTGAAGTCAATGTAGGAACAGTGGATATTTTACAAATGATCTTGCTTGGTCTTCTTTGTTGTACTAATAAAACTACATTACAACTTTTTCATAGCATCCACATTATTTAGTTTGACCATTTCTGGTCTTGTTGCAATAACATTCTCAACACTCGAGCAACCAAGTTTAGTTCAACTTAGCCTTCGTAATTTTATTTCAGTTGGACCAAAAAGGGACTGGGCCTGGAGCCAGAAGCTCTCATGCCATAGCACTGTAGGACAAAAATCTATGCCTTGGTGGCGAGTTCACCGCCACGAGTCCGGTTGACAACAAGCTCATACTTGACCTTGAAACCCTAACATGGTCTGTGGCGGATGTAACCGAGGATGCCCTCCACCACGTGTTGGTGTCACAAATGGCAGCTGTTGGAAAAAACCATCTATGTATTGGTGGTAGAGATGGTACACATAAAGAGCTGAATGAACTCTACTCTTTTGATACATCTACAAGTAAGTGGACCCTACTATCTAGCGCTGATGCTGGGCCGCTCATGGAGCTACCACTCATGACTGTGATGATCGCCATGTGACATTTTCGGTGGTTGTGGTGTTTTGGCCGGCTGAATGATTTATGGGCAATTTGATGTTGTTGATCAAAAGTGGATCAAATATCCAACGCCAGGGAACAATTGCAAGGGTAGAGGCGGGCCTGGGTTGGTTGTGGCCCAAGGGAAAATATGGGTTGTATATGGTATCGCCGGAGTGGAAGTGGATGATGTTCATCGCTCCCATGGACAGTGAAAATCCCACGGCCCGCAGTGTATTTTCTACTGTTGGGATTGGAAAATACATAATTGTATATGGTGGAGAAATTGACCCGAGTGACTTGGGTCACATGGGAGCAGGAAAATTTTCTGGTGAACTTTATTCATTGGACTCGGAGACATTAGTGTGGACACGGTGGGATGATGGGCAGGACTCGAATATTCATCCTGGACCTCGCGGCTGGTGTGCTTTTGCAGGTGGGTGTCGGGATGGCAAACAAGGGCTATTAGTATATGGTGGCAATTCTCCAGCAATGATTGGCTTGAAGACATTTTCTTCCTCACTCCTTCCCCCTAATGTATATGATGAGTAATGGTGTTGTAACTATGATTATGAACTCTGGAGTGTTTAGTGGCAGCTTGGTTATCAAGTGTCTTGTAGAAGTTTCTTACTGTTTGTTTCGTGGATGATTGCTTTATGAACTCAACCTTTGCTTGATTTGCTCATATGTAATGTTTGAACTCATGAAAAATTATTATATTACAAACTAAAACATTTCCAAGATTATTAGAAAAACAATGATTGATAACGCAATTAGATAAAACACATAAATCATTTCTTTGTTAAGGAAATGATCACATTTGTGTGCACTCCTAACCCCTTTTCCATGCAATCTGCAACCCTGATAGAAAGTCTCTGGAATAAATCATCCAGTATGTCATTTCCAAAATGGCTCACTAGAATGGGCTCTACTACAGGTCTGAACTTCATTGCCACTTGCTTGCCTCTTGTATACTTTCCCTCTAAGCTATTTTCACCATTGTTAGACCCTGCATCCCAACTTAGCTCGAACGTTTCGAGTAGATTGATATAGTAGGATTCTTCTCTTTGAATCACATGTCTTACTTCTTCAAGAGAAGGTGCATACATTGGAATATTGAATGTGTCTAATTTCGATTCTTCAACTACTCCCTACAACAGAGAGAGAAATGTATAAATCATATCTCACATGCCTCGTATACAGATGTATAAGAGTAAAAGATGGAAACCTCTAAGACCATTTCGTGCAATGTCTGTCCAATTAACTCCAAAAGTATAGGGCGATAATTCTTCAAAGATTCATCCTTTGATTGATTGCCCCTAAGTGTAAGGATCATACGGCCTCCAGTAATCAACTCTTGTGAACGTAACTTGAGAAATGTTGTGAAATCTTTCTCAAATTGATCCAAGTATGCCTTGTGTACACCAGGTGGACTTGTTCTTGTTGGATAAATATTCCATTTGTTCACCGGAATCGACAGTTCACTTACTAGCCCTTCAGGTACCTCATAATAATTGAAAAAATAGTCTTATTATTGGTTATTTATGTGAGTTCAAATTTATCAATTAGCAAGGAAAAAACCAACTCATATGTGGGTTGATTCAATTATATCATGACAAATTAATAATCATTTGATTAAAAAAACCTTAATTGTACCTTAGAGAGCCAGTGGAGGCTGTAAGAGGAGAAAACAAAGTGAAGGAAACGAGGAGGAAATAGTCTCCCATAGAAAGATCCGGCCACTGCAGCAATGAAGCATGACAAAAACTCATTTTGATTCTCCCCTTTCTTCAGTCTCTCATAAAACCCTGGAAGTGATTTAAAAATTGTGTTGAAATCATTTCCAGTAAGATCATTGAGAAAGACGTGCAATACAGGTGGCTTTCGGTTCAAGCTGTGACAGGTTTTGTGAAGGGCATCTAAAATTTCCCTTGTAGGCAAAAGTGCGTTAGGCCCGGTAGAGCACCCCATATCTGTAAATCTGATGCAGTCTGGGAAGTTATTGCAATAGAATTCAGTCATGGTTTCTTGTAGCAGGGGCTTAGCTTTCAAGATGGCCTCTTTCTAAAAGATGATGGTGCAATTGATCAGTGAATAAATAACAGAGGGCAAGAAAGAGAGAAAGGGAGAGGAATTGATCCGACTGACCTGTTGTGAAGAGTTGTTAGCATAGCTATTATCTCCATCTCCTCCATTCATATGTAGAACTTGCTCTAACGCCATTATTGCCCTTATGTCTTAACACCTCACGCATCAAACCACCAAGTTCTAGAAAAAGCTGCTCTTTGGGATCGTCGTTTGATTATTATGGAGACGTGTAAGATTAGGATGATACATAACTGTTGATTAACATACAAAGTTAAAGTTTTGATTAACGTCACGGCAGCTCCCATTAAATGAATTAATGACGTATTTCTAGCGTAGGCACTAATTGTTGTCCTTATCAGGAAAACCAATCCACGGCCGATGTGTACTTGCAGTTGCAGATAAGCTAAACAAGATCAACAATGGGCCAAATGTAATGACACTTTCTACTCCATTTTTATTATTTTAGTCGGCACCTTTAATAGAATATATACATTTCTTTAAGTGTCTTAAAGTTTTAAAGGAAACTACTTTAAATAAATTGACAGTTGGTAGGGATGAGGATGGCATCCAACAGAACTGTATATCTATTGACATAAAACTCTCGAACATGATTCACACAAGCACGAAGGAGTAATACCAGACAAAGCTTACAAATTAGAATTTAATGCAGTTTACACATTCGGATATGCTCCTTCCTCCATTTCTAAGTGCTCGGTTAGTTTGATTGAAAATCTTTGAAACAAATCATCCATGATGGCTTTCCCAAAATGATTTACAAGGAGTGACTCTACTGCTGCTCTTGAACGATCTGCAACTTGATTGCCTCCCGCGTACTTGTCTAACTCTAAGCCTTTTTTATTATCATTGTCAAAGTTTTGGACACAACTTAGATGGAATGTTTGAAGCCAATGGATGTTAAACGATCCTTCTTTCTCAATAATATGCCTTACTTCTTCAGCAGAAGGTGCAAAGAACGGCATATTGTATGAATCCAATCTTGATGCTACAATCAGCCCCTGAATTTGAGTTACATATAAAATAATGTTATGATCTCAGCTGGCATGATATATAAATGATTGTTTTTGTAGAAACCATAGTTTTGTTATTATTATTAGAATACCCACATCAGAGAGATTGTTGCTTACGCTCACTAATTAGCCAGCACTTACCAGTTTGATTGCGAACCAACCCCTTCTCCGGTCCGATGACACTCTAAACTCGATTCAGCCATTGGCTCGGATTGACCGCAATTGAACTGGCGGAACAATGTTGAGCTGCCATTTCAATTGTCGGGTAAAAGAACCAATCAACTCTCGCTGACTATTTTGCTATTTTCCGACATATTTTGCACCCAAAATCACCGAAAACACCTTTGAAGCCGATTCACGCCTTTTTTGGCCTGATTTCGTCGCCCTCACCTTTGCCAAATCCGGGTTCTTCGCGATGCATGACCTTTAGCCGTCCACACCATATCATCCACTTAGAACCGACACCATCTCACCAGCTTGCCATCTACACTAGACATCTCCCCTCGTTTATGGTAGGTTTGTTGTGGCAAATGGTGGTGTTTTGTGGTGGATTAGGTTTTTCGTGGAGACATGGTGCTGGTTTGTCCAGCATTGGGCTGATCTGGGGTGGATTGCAGTCATGGAAGCTAGGGTTTCTTGGCCATATTATAAGGGTGTGTTTGCTAGATTTCAAGCCTATAGGGACTGATGTGTAATTTCTTAAGGACATGTCTGTTAATTTTCATACTAAGGTTTTATGTTGACGTCATCCATCCGATCCACCGGTTAGACCATACAACCCAGGGATCGGCCCCTTGACCGGGCCAAGGCTCGGTCCAACTATTAAAACATTGCTTAAACATAATTTACTCATTTTCCTCCAAAATGATAAAGTGGTTCCATCCAATAAAGGGGACTTTAGTAAAGTAGATTTCGGTCGTCCTCCCCTTCACCAAACAATTAATTCGACTAGGAGACAATCTAATCGAAGAGACACCTTTGATCCTTCAATTTTTATTGTATTTCGAATTTTTCATTACTTGGTGAAAATAAGGGCGTAGACTCTACTGATTTTCCGAGCCAACGTTAATTAAGGTGAAATCCTCTTTATTGCAATATCTAAATCAAAATATAATATATAGCTGCCATTATTGTAATTCTCAAGAGCCCTTTTAATTAACTAGCCAACAATCAATACCCGGACAACGCACACAGAAAAAGTGTGAGTTACCTCCGAAGCCAAATCATTTGCAGCCATCCCTAATCGCTTGCAAAGATTAGGGGTTGTGTTTATCATTAGCCATTTGTGGAAGGGACCATGCGGCCTCCAGTTTTCAGCTCTTCTGACTGTAATTTGAGGAATAATGTAAAATCATTCTCAAATTGATCCAAGTACGCCTTGTGAACATAAACATCTTCTTCACCATCTATCTTGCACTGAGGTCGGGAAGATAATCGATGTCTTTTGTAGTTTGTACTTGGTAAAAATCAGGCTAATTGGGGTTGTCAAGTGATTTAGCTATGGAAAGTGGTGGGACGAGCTAGAGTTGGCTGGTGAGGGTGGGGCTGGGAACTGGGAACTGGGGTTAGTATTTTTTATTTTTATTTTCAAATGTTGTTATTTATTATATTACCTAATTTTTATATATACATGTGTTTTAACTTTTACTCTATTATTTCTTTTATCTTTTAATTTATTATTAAATTAAAAAAAGAGTGATGGTATTGGCCCCCACTTTTTATCTTAGTTGATCCCAATTATTATTTTCTTAATTAGAGTTTTATCCTTTATGAAAATTACTAAATAGACTTAAAAGTATTTTATGCACAATCTATTTAGAATAAATTTTCTGCTATTAATATTAATTTTCTACTTCCTTTTCTACATTATAAACCCTAACTTTATTTTGAAATAATCAAGATGAAATTATTTTGGTCAATACCATATATGCGTTTAATTTTTTGGGCTTATTTCATCATATTTTATTGTTTCTAAAAAAAAAAAACAACGCATGTGATGCCAATATGCACAATTGTTTATATGCTTGATTGATATATTAAATGAAGATTAAAAAAAAAAAAATAAGAAGAATATATATAAAACAAAGATTAAGTGTAACATTAGTAAAAATATAAAACAAAGAGTTATTTTGTAAATGGATAGGATTTATTTAGACATTTATATATGTTTAAAATATTAATTGAGTAAATTTAGAGGTGAGTTTATTAAGATCAATTATGGACCAATAGCATTACTCTTTTAAGAATTGTAATTAAAAATTTCATAAAGTTATTCACTTATTTGTATTTTGTACAAAAGGACAAAAGTGCCGTTACACCATTTAATGGAGAAAAAGGGACTGAAGCTGCTTTTCTTGGTTTTGTTGGCCGTAGTTAAAAACTTTGTCAAAGATCAGGGATGAAAATGTCATTAACTAACTCTCGCCTGCAACTGCAACTTTAATTAATTCCCATTCACCTAAAGTCTCTTACCACGTTATTCATGCAATATAAACAAGGGCTAAAATTTTTTAGGGTAGAACCAGAACCAACGGGTACTCGAGGTGCGATTTTGATTCCTAACCAGAACTGTCTTTCACAGGGTTGATTTTGATTCCAAAATTGGTGGAACCGACATTGTGCGGGTTAGCATCTGGATCTACCACTTCAAGAACCGGACCTGAACCATGGAATTGGAACTGAAACCAAGGACTAGAGATGACAATGGGCCCGATATTTTCGGATACCTGGCCCTACCCGAAAAGGTCAGGCTTTACCCGATGTTCGCAGGCTTGGGCTTGGGCCTGGGCCTAATTTTAAGGCCCGACCTCGGGTACGGGCTGGGCTTGGGTATGTCTTCAGGCCCGACCCAGCCCGACAATTTTAGTATTAATTATACTAAATTACCCTTATACTATATATTTAATTACAAGATTATCCTACATATATATACTCATTTTTCTCAAACCCTACATAGATAGATGGATGCACTTTGTGGAAAGTTATTTAAATATTTGATAAGTATTATGTAACGCTGACATCAAGGTACGTAGCTTATTTATGCCCTAATACCCTTAGTTGAATTTTGTTAAAGTTATCTTGAACAAGTGTGAAGAAAATTCCTTAAAACTTTATTAGGAATAAAATGGTATTTTCACTCATAATTAGTTGAAAAAGTGGGGAGTGAAAAGAAGTAGAATAACATAGAGAAGTTAATAAAAATGAGGATATTCTTGTAATTCACTAAGGGACATAGATGAAATTTTTAGAAAGTGCAAGGGTAAAATGGGAAACTAATATATATTATTATGTAGTAATAAGAGTTCAAGAAGAGAAACCCTAGCAACTCCACCCATAGTTCATGCCACCTTCACCCTAAATTCTCTAAAATTTCTTTACTAAATTTTCAAGGAAATTCATAGGATTTTGGCTACATTTTGATATATTTTCAATCCTAAGCATCCAAAGGTAAGATTCTTACATCAAGATGTGAGATTAAATTTAAAAGTTTTGAATTCTTATGGTTTATATGCTTAGGGTTTAAGAGGAAGGGGAATTCTACCAAAGAGAGATTATAGTGTTGTAATTGCTCAAATTCAAGATAAGTAAATCCAACTTTAGCTTTGATTGGATAAATACTTGTGTAGAGATATTTCTTATATGTTGTATGTGTTTTTGGATGATGAGAATTATGGATTGAAATTGAGGTTGTTTGATATGTGAATCTCATGGCTATGAGAAGTGATGATTTGTATGTGTCGAGTTGATGAAGTTTTGGATGAATTATGGAAGAATGGATGTTGAGTGGTGGAGTTGAATTTTCGGCTAGGTTGGATGTTGGCCTTAGAGAGTTATTTGCTTCAATTTTGGTGGCTTGAGAAATATGTGGAAGTGTAACCAATTTAGGGTTTGTATGTGCATGTAAGGTGTTTGATGAAATTTCAAAGAAAGTGCATATATATGAGTATGTTAGAATATTACCTTGTTATGGAAATGTTGTTAGTAGAGGATATTAGTTCCATAATGATATCTTTATATGTCATAATGCATTCTTACATTTGGGCATTTGCATTTAGAAAGAATAGCAAAGAATGAGCATATTTACATGCACATATACATGTATGAGAACATTAAAGAATAAAGAGAAAGAAAGAAAAGAAATTCATTGTAGAATCATTATCTAAAGAACATAATTAAAGAATACCTCAAACCTAAAATTTTATTTAAAGA